AGGAGTAAGGCCGGTTTTAAGAGTATATAGCTATAGAGCCTAGCCTACCTTTTAAGACTCTAGAGTTTTTATTAGTCCTTTAAGGTAGTAGTAAGGGCGCTATACTAGCTCCTAGTTTTTATATCTTAGATCGTATAGAGTTAATAGGTACTAGCCTACTAGAGGTCGCGCTAGTAGAGCTTAGTTAAGGCAGTAGTATATTAATAGTACGCTACCTATACTTACTAGACAGCCTTAAGGACCTTGTCGTTCTACTAGGGCTTAGCACGCCCTTAGTTAACCTTTTTTCTTAAGGTAGATATATCTGTAATATGTATAAGCTAAGAGGTAAGTAAGTTAACTACCTTATCGACCTTATAAGGTATATCTAGCGGTTTTAAAGAGAGGTAGAGCCTCTTAGCCTTAATTGTTACTAGTTCTTAGTCTATTAAGGTCTAGCTCTATCTTAGTGCCTTTATAGCTCTCTTTTAGTAATCCCTTACTTAGGTAGTAACCTTAATTAGCTAGGTATAGTAGTTAGATCCCTTATACCTTAGGTTACCTTAATAAGTATACTAGAGCGTTATCGTAACTTACGTATAGTTAATCGTTAAGTCTTGTTTATTATATTACTACTATATTAGCTCTCTTTAAGGTATATATAGCAAGAGCTACTATCTATAGGCTAGATAGAAAAGGGTCTCTAATTTAGGGGTAGTCTTACTAGCTCTATCTTAGAGTAGATAATAAAGGTTTATATTACTTATAACAATCTGTAGCCCTTTTAGGTCCTCTTTAACAAGCCGCTAGAGAGGGCTAGCCTAGCCTAAGGAGTTAGGAATTAGTAAGTATATTAACTAGATAGTAATACCTTATAAAGTAACGTAACACTAGTTAACGTCTGTCTCTACTACCTAAGTAAGAAGTAGGTACTACTTATAAACGTAAATAACTACTCTACCTTTACTCTTATAGACTTACTAGTACTTTACTTATACTAAGTAGTAGACTGTCTTTATCTAAATGTTATACTATAGCTCTTAAATTACTATAACGTTAACTTTACAGCTATTATAAAGCGCTATTAAGGTAAGGCTATTCTTTCTTATAGTGTTCTAGTATACTATTATTAATTTTATTACTAAGAGTCTAAGATCTATAAGTCTTACGTTATAAAGGGGTTACTAGACTCCTAGCTAGCTCTTTAGCTTAATATCTTTATAATATCGTAGCTTTAGACTGTTACTATATCTAGTACCTTAATAAAAAGGCGCCCTTACCTTACTAGAGTCTTTACTATAGGCTTCTTACTATTACTTGTCTATAGTCTCTTAGGCGCTACGATCTAGTAGCTATTATTACTATCTTGTAAGGATACTAGTATAACGCTAAGTACCTAGCTAGTAAAGCTACTTCTAGACACCTTAAACTATCTAGGCCTTTATTAATATATAGTATGTGTCTACTCCTTTATCTTAAGGGCCTTAAGATACTAATAGTCTTATACTATATATAGTCTACTATAGTTAACGTATCTCTTTTTACTATTAAGCTAAGGGTACTTCTCTTTACCTTAAGGGTACGCCGCTCTTATATAGTAGCTATACTAGGCCTAGTTCTTATAGAACCGCCTAATATAGCTAAACTAGTAGTACTAGAAGTATCTTTAGATTTGTAGGTCAGCCGAATATAGCTTGTAGTTAAAGATCTAGGCTTACTAGATTAACCCTTGTTTATATAGGCGCGTTACTACGTTAGCGCTCTAAAAGTATAGTACTACTATTATAAACTTTACTATAAGGGCCTTAACAGGTTTAACTTTAACCTTTATAATATATAGTACGTAAGCTTAGATCTCTACTAGTAATACTCTTAGCTCTACTTATATAATCTGTTCTACTAGTAGGCCTTTTGTAATTACTACAAACTTACTCTTATAGAGCTAGGCTATAGGCCTAAACGCCTTTTATACTTAGTCCTAATCTTAGATCACGTTCTTTAGTATAGCCTCTTTAAACGTAAGGATAGTGTCACTACTAGGTAGCTAGTAGGTTACTACTACCTTAGCGCTCCTAATTACTATATTAGCCGCTATTACTACTTTAATAGCGCTATAACGTACTAAGTCCTTTATCTATCTGTCTACTCTAATCCTTAGCTCTCTAATCTACCTCTCTAGTATAACCTATACTCTTGTTAGGCGCTAGCTTACTACTAACGCGTAGGTAGCCTAAAGGGCTACTATTACTACTAGCCTCTAGAAGGCCTCTTCTAATATCGTTCTTAATTATCTAATCGTTACTAGGTTATCGTTAGAAGAGGACCTAAAGGTATATAAGAAAGTCGTTATATTTATAGCTCTTGTCTTTACTACTATTATTGTTATAGTAATAAGGTCGTATAAGA